CACTAATTCTGTCTGCTAAATTCACATAGAAATAAATGACTCAATAAAATGCATCTGAAATCTACAGTGCAGACTAAAGTCTCTAAATTTTTTAATGTCATGTTGTTAGATAAAAGCTCAAATAAAATACAAATAAAAAGTGGTTGTCCCAATCTCACACCACAAAGACACTAACAGTGTATAACTTGTAGCCACACAGAAAGAAGTTTTAAGTACTCTATCTATCATCACCATGCCAGACATGTTCTTGATCAAATAAGCTTAAATAAGACAAAATGTCGGTTGTTAAACATGTAAGACTGTGGCATATCATCAGGTACTGTATACTGATTCATTCAAAAATTTCCTTCAGATACCAACCATACAACACCAGCGGGTGTTATGTGGGTTGTAGCGTGTAGACATTCAGTATAAACAATGGATATGTTATTCTTACCTTCTGAAAGCAAGGCTCTTTGAGTGTTAAATAGCATTATTTTATAGGGCTCTAAAATAAATAACATATAGATTTTAATTATCAATAAAAAAAATTAAAAAAAACAACCTCCCCGTCGGGGAATCGAACCCCGGTCTCCCGCGTGACAGGCGGGGATACTCACCACTATACTAACGAGGATTGGTACACCCGCAGCTGTTCCAGTATCTCTTTTATGGCCACTGATGCTGTTGCAATGGTTCTAAAGTCATACGTAAGATTAAGAGTTGAGAAATTCTCCTGTTATCGTTTTGAATTTGACAGGTAGAAGACACAAATAGAACATCCATGTAAAAGGTGGTACTGTGTAGTCCATTTCAAAGCAAAACAATTTAAAATATCTAAATAACCATTTAGGATCGGTGCCATGAATTCAAAAACATGTTTCCGCCCGGTTTCGAACCGGGGACCTTTCGCGTGTGAGGCGAACGTGATAACCACTACACTACGGAAACCACATTAAAAATAACACTGACATCTGGATATTAATCCATACGGGCCATATAGATTATTTTAATTTTTGTTTTATACTAGAATGTAAGAAAACACATGGAGAACGAAAAATGACTTAGACATAAACAAATAAATGACTACATCAATGCATAAATAAATACAGAAATAAATAAGTAAAAGAATAAATAATTAAATTGTTTGGTATTTTTAGTCAGATAGAATTGGTTAGATACTTCATGTATTAGAAATGTTTAGTGTAGACAGGATGTCTAGTTCAGGCTGTAAAATGCTTAGTCATTCTAATGAGTTACTGTAGGTTGTTTAGGTTCAAGGATAACTAAACAGAAAGTTGATTATTGTTGAGAGACAGAATGTTTATTCTTATTGTTATGACGTGTTTAACCATAGTCGTAGTCATAATGTTTTCTTATGCTCAGTGTCATGTCAGAATGTCTTAGCTACACACCACATAATCAACAGACATTCACAAATTGATTTTCTTCATGCTTTGACTACTGCTATGACCAGCTGCAAAGCTGGCACCGGAGACATCACGGTTTGGCGTCTGTCTGCGTAGTATGGGGCTAGCCCAACCAAAGTGATATAATGTATAGGCCTGTTATGGTTCAGGGCTTTTCATCTTCCGGCTGCCTGCCTGCATGCATGTTGGAGGTGTAAAGACTCCTGAGGATGTAATGTTAATTCTTACCTGTGTTCATTGAATAAATCAGCACTGTTATGAAGTTACTTGGACTGCCTCGTCTCTCAGAGTTAGTGTAGCAGAGTTGTAATTCCATTTGCCATAACCTAAATAATTTGTTGCAATGGCATTTTATTTTGTTACTTCCTCCGGAAGTGAGTTTTTTTTTTTTTTTGATTTATTAAGGCATATGACAGTAGTTATACATAAGTAAATAGATCAAAAACAAAAGGACTATAACATAAAATAAAGAACATAAAAACAAGAACAACATCGAAGCATACAATGTGAACATGAAACTTTTAGGCCAGGGGGTGACTTAATGGGTTAAGTTAAGTAAAAACATTCAGGGAAGTACATATATTACAAATTTTGATAGCTTTTTTATTTTCGCTCTTCAGGATGGAAGAGAAATAATTTTTAATTTCGCATAACAGGGCAGGGAAGAAGGGTTTAGATTTAGAGAATTTGCATTTGTGAATATAAAATTTTGCCATGAGTAGAATAAGTTAATTAAATGTAGCTTGTCACTTTCCTTTCTATTATTGTTATACAGACCAAATAAAACATATTCCCATTTCACAGCAAGGGGATAATGAATTTTGGAGGTGATGAATACAGATATATTCTGCCATAAATCATAACAAAATGGACAATCCCAAAATAAATGAACAGTAGTTTCCTCTGAGGAATTACAGAAAACACACGATGTATTAATAGACATATTAAATTTTGTAAGATAATGAGCAGATGGGTAAAATCTGTGAATTAATTTAAAGGAGACCTCTCCTATTTTATTACTCATCATATATTTAAAATAACCATACTTTATCCCAGCAAATGTCCGGAACCAAAATATTCCAGTATGATATAATATATAGCATAGACACTACATCCTGTTGAAAAATAGTCCGAATAGCTTGATTGTTCTTCTTTCTTATAGAGGTGAAACATGTTTTCCCTATGAACGTGTCGGCTGGATCCAAACGAAAAGAGGAGTCATCCGTATCATTGTCCAGGTTCTTGAAGAGCATCAGCAATCCAGAGGGAATCGCTCCAATAGTCAATGAGTATTCCTTTAGTGTAGGACTAAAGTTAAATCGATTTTTCAGTTCTTCAAATGTCAAAGGAACACCCTGGTCATTTAAAAGCTGTTTCACCAACAGGATATTATTTTCAAACCAATTATAAAGAAATAGAGATTTATTCTTATGAGTTATATATTGGTTGTTCCAGATGTAACAAATCTAATAAGTTAAGGCCACCATTTCCATATGTGTTCATCATTACAGATTTTTTAACATAGTGTATGCGATTTTTCCATATAAAGTTAAATAATGTTTGATCAATTGATTTAAGTATTTGTGGATTTAAGTATAAAGATTGAGCTGCATATGTTAATCTAGAGATTCCTTCTGCTTTAGAGAGAGTAAGGCTCTACCTAAAAGTGAGAGATCGCGTTGAAGCCATTGATTAAATCTTTTCTTAACATTCTTGAGTATGGGCTCAAAGTTGAGGGAACATCTTAAAGTTTGATTTTTGGATATAGTAACACCTAAGTATGCAACACTGTCTTTAACTTGTATTCCAGAGATATTAGTTAGATTGCAGTCCTTAATAGGGAGAAGTTCACATTTTTGAATGTTAAGCTTGAGACCAGATGCTTCCAGCTTTGCAGGTGACCATAGCAGTAGTCAAAACATGAAGCAAATCAATGTGTGTGTGTCTGTTGATTGTGGTGTGTAGCTAAAAACATTCTCACACGACCTCTAGTGACATGTCATGACATTAAACATAAGAACATATTATGGCTAAGGCTACAATTATACACATCATAATAATAATAATATTAAACATCCTGTCTGCTGACAGTCATCAACTTTTCTATCTAGTTATCCTTGACCCTGTAAAAACCCATGAGCATGACTAAGCATTTAACAGCCTACCTAGACATCCCATCTCCACTAAACATTTCTAATACATACAAGTACCTAACCAATGTCTATCTGACTAAAAATACCTAACAGTAGACTTGTGAGCATGTTGACAACACCACAGGAGAGTGAGAGAGCAGGGGTCAGCAATACAAACTACTCAGTGCCACCTCTGAGAAATATATACAGTATGAGCAAATATTAAAACAATTAACATTACCTGCATAATGTCCCTCTGTGCAAGCTTGGTCCAGAGTGACACAGAACATATTGTACTGTATTTTGGAATAGAGCTATTTTATCTGAAGGCTTTAAACTTAAAAATATCTGTTCCATTACACTTAAAACATAAATAAAAATCATGATAAAGTTATAGGTCAGCAGTGAGTCTATGTATATACTGTACTATAATTCCAGTTCACATAATTTCAGTTAACACATGGATTTACTCTGCGATATACACCAAAATACACAGCTATATCACCTCAACAGTGAAGTGGATTTACACAAGATTCTGAGTATATTGACTTAAAATAACCTTTGAGGCCAACAGCATGCTGTACTTTTTCCATTGTGAGATACTTTCTTACAACAGTATTATACATTATAGTCAAAAGGTGTGGTCACTGATAATTTAGCTTTTCTTTAATCAAGCTATTGGATTTGCAATGAAAGCCATGACTTGAAAGCAATGGAAGTGTTGACTACAAGCTTTAATTTGAGGATGTTCACATTCATGCTGGAGTCACTGTGAGAGTCAAGGCCCTTTTAAGCCCCTTTTAGAAAGTATAAAGAGGATTACATAATTCCTACCATACTTATCAGAAGTCAATGTAAACAACTTCAAATTAAAAGTGAAAGTCAGTACTTAAACATTACCAAATAAATAGAATTCCAAATCATAAATAAAGAACACTTTGCCAAAAAGAGAATATATGCCATAGTCCAAATAGTTTTTAATTAACCTGTACATACAGACCACTTTAAAAAGCTACTACATCTGAAACATATTTTCACTGGCAAAACCTACAGTGAAGTGGATATTTATAAACCTCAGTTTATATGCAATGCTTGAGATGTTTAATGCTTTTCAGATACCTTAACAGTTTGTGATTGCCGTCAATGCGCCTCTGTGGGTTCAGCTGAAGGGTACGCATTCAAACTCCATGAGGATCCCCACGCCACATGGACTCCTGGACACGCTGTCCTTAATATGAGAAACAAAACACAGATAAGGCACACTCAACAAAAAAAGTACAGTAAAGTTATCACTAATCTAGCAGTACATCCACAACTAGATCAAATCCAGTCTGACACTTAATAAAGCAGATTCTTTAAGGCATTGTGAGTAAGTCAGAAAGTAACCCAAATCCCAACATGTTGGGAAATGAGTCCTGAAAAACTTACTTACTTTATATGCAGATGCCTTGTGCATTCAGGTGCACAGCCATCATTTTGTGTCCACAATTGGGATGCTGCTGCAGAATTCGGGTCACAGTTTCATCCAAATCATTGTCCTCCAGTGAAGTTAATAGATCATGAACTCTGGTCATCAACAAAAAAAAAAAAAAAAAGTTAACAAGAGCAATGTCACCTTTCTTACAGTATAAGCAAAACATATCACAGGAATTCTGTTGCTCTGTCATGAGCTCAGCTATAAGATTTTAAGGTGTAGCTTCAATTATATTGGGGGGTAAAAAGCATGATGACGTCCTGCGGTTCCTTCATGTATCTCAGAGGATGTAAAGTTGGTGGGTTGCTTCATGAACTGAAAAAACTTAGAAAAAAAAAAATCTACTGGACTTAGATTTCTATGTCGAAGACGTTTCACCTCTCATCCAAGAGGCTTCATCAGTTCTAACTGACTAGTGTTGAGCCGGAGATATTTATCCCCCTCTGTGGTGTTTCAGTCCTTTGAAGACCAACAATGTGATGAATCCATCCGATGAAGCCTCTTGGGTGAGAGGTGAAACGTCTTCGACCTAGAAATCCAAGTCCAGTTGTTTTTTTCAGTTTACTATTGTTAGGTTATTTTTTAGTTAGATAGATATTCAGAGATTTGTTGTCTAGGAATGTTTAGTGCAGACAGGTTGACTAGCCCAGGCTGTTAACTGTTCAGCCTGCAGTGCAGACTGCAGGCAGGTCAAGGTTACAGGAAAAGAGCTGTTAGTGTCAACTGTAATGCTAGTCTTAATATTTGTCTTAATGTGTAAGGTTATGTCCAATTGTTTTAGATACACACCACGAAAACAACAGTCACGCACCTTGACTTTTCCTCATGTTTTGGCTAAACGTTATAGCAGCTGCAAGGCTTGCTTATCGGGTGACGTCACGGTTCGACAGCCCAGAAATGATTAATATTGTATAGCAATGCTTGGTTGGGGGTCTTTCCTGTTTCCGGGCTGCTTGGGCAGCCTGGGAGTTGGAAGATCTCTGGACTTGAAGTGTTAATTCTTGCCTGTGACTTTTTGAATAAACCAGCACGGTTATATTTTTATATACTCAAGTGGTCTGAGTCGTCCCTCGGAGTTCCTGGTTTGAAAGAACCGGATGAGGCTTTATAATGGAATAGAGCCTTTACTATGAACTGGATGACTGAGAATCTGCACAGACATGTTGCTTCATGAAGACCGTCTAAGACTTATGGATCAACTTATACATCAATATATGCATTGAGCTGAGCCAAGTCATCCATCAATCCTTCCAGACGAAACTGGTGATAGTCCCCTAACTAACTGCCCACCAGGACAATAGGCGTCGGTCCACAGGGGAGGATTCAAATACAGGTAACGACTCTCACCGATACTGGGCTATAATGACTCAGTCGTTAGAGGACATTGATGGCCTTCAAAGGACTTGTTGTACCCGGTACTTTTTACCATACTGACTCAGAGACGAGGCAGTCCAAGTAACTACAAAACAGTGCTGATTTATTCCATGAACACAGGTAAAAATTAACATTACACGCTCAGGCATCTTGCACCTCCAAACTGCACGCAGGCAGATG